TTTGTTTTTAATTGTGACACACACACCTATGTCTGTGTTTTTATGGAAAAGCAAAAGTAATACCAGAGATTTTGGCCTTGGAAATAGAAGAGTACACTTCAAAATAACTAAACATTAAAAGCCGTGTACCAAGAACTGAAGAAGAAAGGATGATTAAATATGCTGTGACTATCTCCGAGTTTGTAATAGCACCAACTATGAAGCTGAAAGCTGTCTGACCCTTCTGACCCTGCATTATTTTAAAAGACTAAGATGTTACATGTTGGAATATAATTATATTAGGCAATATATTATATTAGGGAATATATTGTATATATATATATATATATATACACAATAGGGAAATAGCACCTCTTTCTTCTTGTTGATGTTTTTCTTTATTGAAGTTTGCACGTCTCCCATTTTTCTTGTCCAGGAGAAAGCAACAGAGAGAATGAAAGTTTAGAGTAGTTTAAGGCATCCCTTTCACTGTCCCACCACAGGSAACATATTGCAGAAAGAACCAGATGCTCAGCAGTAATCCTCAATCCTACCTACRTTCAGCGAGTCACTACCAGTTTTATAAACTAAGAATGTAACAAAATGTCACAGAGTCAATTTCAAAATTAATCAATCCGTTGTCTATTCATACAGTGGCTAATCTCACCTATCCCATCTTTCAACCCTCCTTATGAACCAAGGAATTAAACTACATTGAAACTGCAATTAGTGCAGTTTTACTAGATGTCTTCATCTTGGCAAAGAGCAGGAACCTGTCACACACAGCTCCCATTAGCTCAGAAAGTTCTCGCATTCCCTATCTACACAAAAATATATACACAGTTCTCTTTTAAGCAACAGCAGTTGAGGTTTTGCAATATTTGATCACAGTGAACATAACTACTTTTCTTACAGCTGATTTACAAATTTTAAACCTTTCCCAAATCTTAAAAAGGAAAAATATTTAAAAGGTACATCCTGACCTGGATGTTACCCTAGAGGTTACCCTGTGGTAACCTCTCCAAAAAAAAAAAAAAGTGGAGAGAGGGAAAACTTACAAGACAGCATTACAAGACTATGTCTAAATAATCTCGAATGCTTTAAAAAATTCACATTATAAGGACAGAAGATATTAGAAAAGATGATGCAAATGGGAATTTGAGTGGAATTCACTGGAATAATGAATTACGTGTGTATAATCTGGTAGGCCAGTTAATTTCTACGAAGAGTTGTCATCCTTTATACACAGCCATCCTCCACAGCATCACCCTTCACAGAAAAGCAAATCTTCCTGTCACATAAAATGCCTCAAATTTTGGAACCACTTCTTTCTTGCAAGAAAACCGTGCTGTTATTTCTCTATTCTGTTCTACAAAATGCTATATGTCACAGTTCATTTATACAAAAAAGTTTATTCTGATGACAAGAACTGATATATTCATTAGTTACAGAAACACTGCCACTACTGATTCAATATAAAGCAGCAACAAAGATTTGGGGGTTATACAGAAAGTGCAATATAGCATGACTTTGAATTACTTGTCCTCCTAAATTAGTTTGTATGTTTCTATGTAGAATTTAAATAGCATTCTGCAGTTTACTACCAACACTTTATCAGCGTGAAAACACTGTGATTATTTTAACAACTACACAAACTCACATTCCACTCAAGATATTGAAGATCCTGCAGCAGAATTAAAACGAATCAGAGAAAACAATGTTACCAACAATTTTGTAGAGCTGCCTGGCTTTCTCTGGAGACTGTCTGAAATTGAGACTATTAGTTTATAAATGCAGGAAAAAAAAAAGCAGGTAACACAAACAGCATTTACAGGRCCCAAAGATACCCCACATCACCACAGGGGAAAATTGTATCAAATGAAAACACCTGGAAGACATGTCCCAAGCACATACATATTCCCCTGTCTCTCCTAGACTCTCTTTTGGAGCTTTCTACAGAACTCATGAGGTTTCAGAGTAACTATTTAGGGAACTCCCCAAATCAGACACAGATTTGCAAGGACATAAATTCCAAGAATGGCCTGCATGCATGGGAAGGTATGGTATGATGGATAGATCTTTCTTGGAGCATCTATTTTTGAAAGCTGAAAGAGTATATAAATAGAATGCCACTTGATTGTCTGTTCACATGAAACTACAAACAAAAAAAAGGAAAAACACATAGTTAATTAGTATATTACATGTTTCTTTAATACACAAACATCTTCAATATTTCCTGTATTCTATATATTGTACTACAAACATCACTATTTGAATGAATGATTCACTGTTGAAATGCCATAGCAGAAAGAAATTTTACTTCCAGCTCAACCTAGATGACTTGCTCACAAAAAGGGACAACAGGTCTGTCACCTGGGACACCCAACCCATATACAAGTGACSACATCTCAAATGTCATCCTGACTAGCAGTCCAACTAACAGATACACTAAGGCCTTATGCACTATTCTTTAATATAAGTGATGATTCTAAAAGACAAGCACACCCTCTAACATTTACAGAAAGTAACTCAAATTACACAGCGTCTAAACAGCATTTAAACATCGTGTAGTTAAAGGCAGAATTCAGTAAGGACTGAATACTACCATAGCCAACAGAGATGTCAACATCAACTCAGCCCCAGGTAATATTCTCTCAATGTTATAAAGCTATAAGACATGCTTAACTTGTATTAACAGTAGAAGTGAACCCTTAACCTAACCACAAGAGTAATTTTGTTTTTAAATAAAATTATCTACATTCTGTTAGAATGGTACTGAGAAAATAGATTAAATTTGAGAAGATAATTTCTACTGACTGACTTTTAATACTTCAATCATCAAAGGAGGTCAGGAAAAACCAAAAGAGGCCCTACAGTGCTTCAGGGCCTCTCTGTTAAACTCTACACCACTCTACACTCCCAATTTTAATGATGAGGTTTTCTGCACCAACTGGAGCAAGAAAAAGCAAAAGCAAATGCACAGCAAAAAACTCAGACTTAAAGCATTCAGAAGGATACCCATGTTCTAACATTACAGGCTAGAACAAGTCACAGTTGTGACTTGGTTGAGTGTAACTGTCAAGACCTACATTAAAAAAAAAAACACACACACACACACACAAAAAAAATAGGCCACAGGTTTTCAACCTACAACCTCCTTTTTGGACTAGATCTACAAGGGTCAACCATCAATGCTGTCCGACTTTACCAAGATTGCAACCCACGTCCTAACAACAAAGCCTCTGAACAGAACTGCTCAAGTCTGAAAAAGGAAGGACCCAGAACAACACACAAGAAGGTGCAACAGGCCCATCAGCCTGCTGAAATTTTAGGACCYTAGAAAACTTACCAAAGGTCTTGGGTAACTGTATGGTTTATACACACACCCTCTGGCTGTAATAGGTGGAAACCTTTAAGTGGCATCAGTCTCACTTTTCTCGAATAGCTTTTATGGATTACTACATGCTCACAGATCACAGGCAGAAAACTACTTAGTTGGACTGAGTAAGGTGATATACTACCTCAAATTGCACCAGGAAATAAAATTAAAACCACAGGCAGAAATGCCTGTAAGGTCAAATAAATAACACACATTTTACAGTAGCATGTTCCATCTCAGACACTCAACATTTCATCAAAACCAGGAATTACTTCACCACAGAAGCAGAAAGAAATGTGTTTGTTACCAATACGCCATCTTCACACAGACACACCTACAAATATCCACTGTGATATGTAGAATAGACTGCCATGCCCTCCAAAAACAGGAAAAAATAAATATAGATTTTTAATATTTTAGGAAGGAGGAAATACAGAAAGGATGTAATCTTTTCAACTATAACCCCCTCCCCCCCAAAAAAAAAATTAAAAAAAGGAAAAGAGAGAAAAAGTAAAACACTCCAGGAACACACAGGAAGCTTAAAATAAAAGTATTTTTAAAATTCAGGGTACTTAGTGAAATTGGCTCGTTTAATGTCTGTAAAAGGCAGCAGTGAGAAGCTGAAAACTAAGTGGATTTGCAGAAATACCCGGAGCACTGACCAAGAGCTTTGAACATAAAGCAACGTTAGGCAGCTGGCACCGAGCGCGCTGAAGCGGCTCGGCACAGCATTAYGCTTCCAAAACCCAGAAACACCCCAAAGCCATGAGAACAATCGCACTATTATCCCGGCATTTACGTGTTTTTGTGAACAGCCCTTAAAGGCTCCGGGTCGGTAAATCCTCAGCCTGTTTAGCCCGTGGCACCAAATACGATTCCAGTTCTATTTTGAGCCGCAGGATCTGCCACGGGCCGCGGCTCCGCGGAGCGCTCGGCCGCCCAACGTGGCCACCGAATATCCCTAACGCAACAGTTTCCTGGAGGCGCGAGCGGCGGCGCCAGGGAGCGGCGAGGAGGGAGAGCGACGGCCAGAGCCCCTCGACACCTCGCAGCCCCCCCGCTCCCGCCCTGGCCGGGCCGGGGGCACTCGCGCCGCCCCAAATAAGGCGCGCGGGGGGCGGAAGAAACTTGGCGGCTGGCAGCGCCCGCTCCCGTGGGACAGCGCGGCCGGCACGAGGCGGGCCGAGCGCACAAGCGGAACCGGGACGCGGAACCGTCCCCGGGAGCCGCCCGCCCGCGGCGGGAGCAAGGGCAAGGGCAAGGGGGGGCCGCGCCGCCTGCGGCCATTCCGCCCCCCCGCCTCGCCTCGCCTCGGCTCGGCTCGGACAGGCGCGGTCCCGCTCCCTGCGCGCCCCCCGCCCCTCCTTCCCCGCCGCGCGCGCGCCCGCCCGCGCCCGACCGTTGGGCGCGCGCCCGGCAGGCAGCGCGGGGGGGAGGGGGATAATGCGCTGCCAACTGCCCCCTCCCCCCGCCTCGACCCCCGCCCGCGCCCCCGGGAAGGGGCTGGGGGGCGCGCGCGCAGCCGCGGGGGGCGGCCGKTGGAGGGGCGGTTATTGCCTCCCCTCCCCCCTATGAGGAAGGGGCGGCAGGGGGAGAAACGGCCCCGCGCCGCCGCCCGCCCGCGCGTGCCCGCCGCGCTTACCAAGGTAGTGCCTGCGCAGCAGGCCGGGCTCCTCGAGCCCCAGGCTGCGCCTCCGCACGTCCCACAGCAGGTGTGGGCAGCAGCCGCGGGACATGGCCCCGCGCGCGGAGCGGAGCGGGGCGCGCCGCGCCGCCCTCACTGCCAGGCGCTG